CAAAAAATCTTTTTCGATAAAAGTAATATTACGTAAGATTGCTCCATACGAACCTAAGTGGTGTTAAGTTGTTTGCCATCGGTGTGGGGCCTTTTATCTTTTTTTTTTTTTTTGCCGTATATTCGTTGTTAACCCAACGCATGTTTGTGTGCTATAGCAACAAATCAGTGTACATATAATACGCATACATTGGCACGACTGCTCGAGAAAACCCCGCGGAGGAGGCGTACATGCACTGAACAGGTGATGGGTACTGGCTGGTCATATACAATTCAGGATCGAAGGACCTGGCACAGGTATGTTCGTCGAATTGCAACACCCCAGTAACATCTCTAACAAAGGACTATCATAATTATAACTCAGGCATTCTTGGTTTTAGACTGTTTGAAGATCGTGCGCGTTTTTTCGCCAAATTTGAAGCAGTCAGATCATTAAAAGTATGAATAGTTGTTGCTTTATAGTTGTGTTAGTGAGTGTTACATAATGAAGCATGGATTGCCTTTGTAACCTCTGTGCCCTCCTGTGTTCCTCTGTGAATACTTAACAATAACAGGTTATTAAGAAAATCAAACGGGAGTAAACGATGTACAAAGACTGTCAACGTGCAAAACTTGAATTTCACATGGACGAATACATCCAACATTTTGTTATAATCATATATGATTGAGCAGGCAAGCACTCGCCACATGATCTGCCTATACAAATCAGAATCGACCAGTGAGATATCAGTACTGCACTGAGTAGCGCTGTGCAACAGCGTCCCACAGGGGTTGTCATCAAGGAAGACAACGCAGCAGCCGCTGAGAGGTGCCGTGTTTTGTGTTTTGGTGTTTGTTTCGATTGACGTGTTGGGTTACTGACATCTATATGGAGGCCGGTACAACTGTATGTACTGAGTTTTTTTTTTATGCTTGAATAAAGAACTGCTGGTTTGGCAGGTGCAACAACACTTAAATGTTGATAAATACGTTCAACAGCTTCCGCAATGACTTTAGAGGGGTGAAACTTCGCTGACCACCGCCCAGGGCAATTTTCGGACAATTTCTCAGCCAAATTAGTTGATTTTGGGGTGGCATGCTGGTGCGCAGGGCACTTGCGATTGGGCATGTGCATGTAGTAGCAGTAGCAGCAAGAGGGCATACCTTTTTCAGTGTGCAGATCCACCTCGACGGTCGGATTGCCGCGTGAGTCGTAGATGGCTCGAGCGTGAACACGTGTGATCGGCATCAAGGACGGCACGTAGCGATGTAAACGAACCCTGCAAAAGTCCTACATAAAACACACGCATGCCAGGCTGGGAAATAGCTGAGCGCCTGGCACCACGATGCACCCGAACGGGGACCTTGCATTGCGTACTACCACGCAAAAACATCAACCTAAGGGTTTCGTCCACCCCGACAGGCGAATTTTGCGATCTCCCCTTCAGACATTGTTCTTTATGCGTTCATCCATATATGCAAAAACACATATTGTGACGACCCGGTGTATACGTGTGTATGCGTGTGTCTGTGTGTCCGAGTATTTTAACTTGACATCCAAACAAGCTTTGGCGCTAAAATTTTACAAGTGGGTTTCCCGGCAAAGTGCCAACCCAGGACCGCGATACCACTCCTCAAACCCGTCTAGGCCCCACGTACGAGCGTCTCGAAGTTTTGGCGGGAAAATCGCTAACTTGGGAAACAGAAAAGCTAGAAAGCTGAGATTTTGAGATTATGTCCCCCGTCTATATAGAGCTCAAAGATTTTAAATTCAGTCTTCAGGTCTGCGTAGTCCCAGCGTACGACCCCGTGAGGGTTCCTGACGCGAAAACTGCTAGCTCGCGAACCAAGAAAGCTGGGAGGCTGAAACTTTCAGCGAATGTTTTTTC